AATTTCTGCCAACGGATGCCATGGTCTGCGCTTCTGGGGACGCGCCGATGTTGGCCCGACCTGGGGCCCCCCATAGGCCCCGAGTCCTCGTGTTCCCCGCCGTCGCCTCTGCGAACAGTGCCGACATCGAGAATTCGTGCCCGCGCGCAGCTGCAGGCTGTGATCACCCCTGCTTCTTTCACGGCGGCAAGCGCGGGGGAGAAACGAGACGGAGAAAGCCTTTTCTGAAGGCGGCGGAACTTCTCAAAGTCCCTCGCGCCTTCTGAGGCGTCTTCTCCATCTTCGGGCAAGGCTTAGAAAACTTCTCAGAAGGCCGGGGGACTTCCCGAGCCTTCTGAGAAGGCCTTCTCTTTCTCGCTGCCCCCCCCCCCGCTCGCCGCCCAATTACGAGAGTTGTTGCTGCACTTGTTGCCGTTCCTATGCCGGCCTCACTCCGGCTGTTATCGTGTATGCATCTAATTTGGTCTGCCAGGAATGCGACGGTTGTTTGGCCCCCAACGTGGAAAGGACAAAGTGTTGCATGAACATTTCCAGGGCACAATTCACAAGCATGTTCACAACGACGCGATCCGTACACGTCTTCCTCACTCCCTTCTCCCTTTCCCCTCTGTCTTCGTGTCTCCTTCATCCTCCATCCTCTATCCCGTACCCATAGTTGTTTCTTCTCCTCCAGGCCTCCTTCCCTCCATCCTCATCCTTTTTCTGATGATCCCTCTCATTCGGCCTTCCCCACTCCCTCGCTGTCCTCATCATCTTCCTCCTCCCTCCCCCTCCCCCTCATCCCTTCTCTTTTCTCCTTCTCCCTCTTCGCTCTTCTCTCCTTCCCCCTCCTTTTTTGTCCCTTCGTCTTTCTACCTCCTCCCTTCTCCCTCTTACCCCTCTCCCTCTCCATCCACGCTACCCAGGACCTCCCCGCAAACTCTTCACCTCGGGAGCTCCCCAGGAACTCCTGGAAACCTTCACCCCATCCGTCTCCGCAGGCCTCGGCAAAGCGGCCCGAGAACAGCAGAAGCTCGTCAGCAGACCGACGAGAACCTCTTCACATATTCGAGTCGCCACTCAGAACGTCATGATGCCGCTCTTCCTCCTCCTCCTCCTCCTCCTCCTCCTCCTCCTCCTCGTCCTCCGCCTCCTCCCGCGAATCCGAGAAATCCGCACGGAGCTCCGAAAGTTTACATTCATGCAGGTTTTCTTTCCTCTAGCATTTGCTCTGCGCGCCAGAGCATGTGTGCCACTTCGGCAGCCGCGTCCCGACGGGGTCGCCCAGTCTGCGCGGCAGTGACACGGTCGGGAAGTCTTGGATCGCGTGTCTTTTTTTCCGCCGGTTCTGGCCCACCCTTCGTGGGCCCTGGAAACGAAAGGGCGTTTTTTTTACCCGTTCCGTTTTGCCGTTTTTTTGCCGGTTCCGACGCCGTTTTTTTGCCGGTTCCGTCGCTGTTTTTGTTACGGGTTCCCGCTCCGGTTCCAATCCTGGAGCCGTTTTTGTTGCCGTTTCCGGTCGCCGTTTTTTTGCCGCTTCCATTTTCAAGGGACCGTTTTTCGGAAGCGGTGAAACAACGGCCCTGCCGTTTCCGTGGCCCACTACGTAAGTTTTGGCCCACCACGCTTCGGCGCGACACGCCATTCACGTCAGGTCCGCAGGCCTAGAGGTTGACACCAACACCAAGATCGGCGGTGTGCCTCCACCGAGGAAAGACGATCCCGATCTCGGTGATGGTGGTCATATTCTGGCTTCCAGGGAGGCCGAAATATTGTCACCAACACCGAAATCTAGGATCATCTTCCCCCTATGGAGGTCCCCCCCCTGGGCTGGTGTTGGTGCCAATTTATTCAGGAATCGCGCTCTCGCTTGGGACTTCCTTACAATTTATTCAGGAATCGCTTTCCCGGAGCTCTGGAGTCGCGCTCTCGCTGGAGACTTGCTTACAACTTACTGAAGAATAGCCTTGCGTTGGGATTTCCTGCAATTTGCCCAAGGGCCGCGCTCCCGACACCCAGGCACCCAGGAGTTGCGCCCGTTGTGGCCCCATGTGCATGCCCTTCGTGGCCCCGCTGTCGCCATTTGTGTCCCCCGCATTGTCCTACGTGGCCCAGTTGCTACCCTCAGTGGCCCCATAGTTGCCTTCTGTGGCCCCGCATTATCTGCACTTCGTGGCCCCCGCTCGTTCGCACTCTTCGTGGTCCCATACGCATTCCCTTCGTGTCCCCGCTGTCGCCCTTCGCGGCCTACTGCGTGCCCTTCGTGGCCCTGCTGTCGTTCTCTCTCGCTCTCGCTTTCGCTCGTCGTCGCCGTCGTTGCCGTCTCCGTCGACGTTGTCGTCGTCGTCGTCGTCGTCGTCGTCGTCGTCGTCGTCGTCGTGGTCGGTCCCCTGTCCGTCCCTCTTGGGGTCGGGTCGACGGTCCACGGCTGCCCCGCCGATCAGCGTTGCCGCTGGCCAGGCCGACGGTCCGCGGTCGCCCCGCCGCTTGCTGGGGCCTGGGCTGCAGGGAATAAAGGTATACCCCCCAAAAGGGGTTCGATCGAAGACGAAGAGGGCGGGTATCGAGGGTTTGGGAAATACGCGTTATTAGACACTCGAGCACATAAGGGCGAACAGTCGTAAAATGATTGTTGTTGTTGTTGTTGCTGTTGTTGTTGTTGTTGTTGTTGTTGTTGTTGTTGTTGTGGTTGTTGTGGTTGTTGCTGCTGCTGCTGCTGTAAGTGTTGTTGTTGTTGTTGTTGTTGTTGTTGTTGTTGAACGTTATTAATTCTAAAGAATAATTATTGTTGGGACCCCTGGTGCACGGCCCCCCTGCGCCGCCTAGGCCGCAGCTACATTTTCATCATTTTCGTGAGGAAGCCTCAGGTAATACGATGTCATCAAGATCCGGTTGTTTTGTTGTACTCCGTTTTCCCTTGCAAAAAACACTATAAAATGACATTTCTTGTTCTAATATAATCAAATTTCAAGAATCCCTTGCAAAAAATAAGGTAAAGTGGACATTCGCGCGCGCAAGACGAAATCCTTCCAAAAGCTTAGTGTTCGGAGCGATTTTAACATAAAAACATCAAAAAACCAATGGTTTTTCAACAAAAAAATGTCAAAATCTCATCCCGCGCGCTCTTGCGGATTCGTAGGAAACCCAACACTTTTTAAACATTTCTGTCAAACGGGCTT